TACCTGAATTCTGCATTAGCTGGTTTTCATTTTCACATCATTTACCTGAAAGTCTATATTGAATATGTTATTTTCTTATTTATTTGGCATTCAATGTACTAATTTCACATTTTATTCAAACCAATACATATCTCTAAACTATTCTGTTTTTATTTTATACTTAAAAGATTTAATACCATAACTCCCTGGATAAATGACAGTTTAGGATACAATTCTGGTGGGAGAATTTCACCTGAATTTTAATTTATCAAGAGAATTCATGTTGACACATGACTCAGATGTTTACTGTGTTTATGGCTTCCTAGTTATCAAGAGGACAATAGCTTCAATTTGAAATATTCATTGCAGTTGAGTTTTTGTCAAAATTGACATTTATTTTTCTCATTTATTTCTTTTTGTAATTTTTTAAATTTACTGTTGTCTCCTCCTTATCTTAAATTTTACCTGATACCATTTCTTTCTTAATTTTTCTTTCAATTCTGTATTATTTTGATAAAATTTATGGGTAAAAGATTACAAATAACAGAAACTATTATTCTCAGAGGGAGAACTATTCCTCAGAAGCGGTGTTGTTGTTTTGTGCCATTGATTTACCTGTTGCTAAGTGATCCTAGGAACAATGGATCTGAACCTTGCCCTCTCTTGTGTTCTCAGGAATTACTGTTGTTATTGTTTGGTATTATTGTGTGACCCTATGAACAAAAGATATGAATCCCGTCCTATCCTGTGACATCCTTATCATCTCTGACACACTTAAGTTCATTGCTACAGTCCCTGTTTCAATCCATCTTATAGAGGGTCTTCCTCTCTTTCAGCTAATTTACAACCCAATAAACACATTAACAAGTTATTGACTATGTTATTAATTCAAATTCATAGAAACATATATTAATTTAAAAGTTTATTATTGACTTAGGACTGGAAATTTATTTCTAGAAATTAATTGTATTTTGATATAAGAAATAAATTTGCAACAATAGGAAAATTCTGGCTCAATATTAGAGTGTTTTTCTGAGCCATGCTTCTTGAGACCATAAGGATAAATATTTAATGAATAATCTTCACAATAATGTAACAAATGAGAAGAAAGGCATTTTTCTTGAAAACGTATTGTAGATTGTTAATGAATAAGATTGTCAAAGCAGAAATCTGTAATATAGATACAATTATTTTAGCAGTAGAGAGTAGACCTATGGAAGTAAGGGAGAGGGAGGCAAAAAAGAATAAATAAGAAGTGCTTTAAATTCTGTATTGACCAATAGAGTAATACATATTGTTGTATGATTTCCAGTCAGGACGAACTCATTGTTGATCCTTTAGTAGGTTTTCAGGGGCTTTAAATTGTCTAACTGCCCAGATGTCTAGGGTGAAGCAGCTGATGGATTCAAATAACTTGTCTTAGAGGTGATAGAGCCATTCCTTACAACTAGGCCAATAAAAGATTCTGAAATAGGGAAATTGCAGAAAATAATGAATAAACAGTAGCAGGATAAACAATCTATTTTAATCCATCACAAATAATTACTGTGTTATTTAGCAACTGTGCAACCTAGAAATTCCTGTAAAGAGTCTTGCATCTTTCTTTTCTTAAACTATTTTCTCCTGACACTCACTCTCACGTTCATTACAAAGACAGACGAGGAAGAGAAGACCAAAATGGTTGTCAGAAGAGACTCTGAAAATTGCACTGGAGTGCAGAGAAGCCAAAGCAGAGGGAAGAATTCAAGATACTAAAGAGTTGAGTAGAAGATTTCAAAAAGCAGGACAGGATGACAAAGTAAAATATTACAATGAAATGTGTAAGAAGTTGGAGTCAGAAAATGAAAAGGGTCAAAGTCACTCAGCATTTCTTAAGCTCATGGAACTGAAGAACAAATTCAAACCTCGAGTTGCTATAACCAAGGATGTTTTTGGCAGAATATTTAATGATCCAGAAAGTATTAAAAGAAGATGGAAAGAAAATACTGAGTCACTGTATCGAAAAGAATTGGCAGACACATTGGAATTTCATGAAACAACAAATGAGCAAGAGCCTATGATGATGAAGGAAGAAGTTCAAGCTGCTTTGAAGGAAATAGCAAAAAATAAGGCATCAGGAATAGATGGTATACCAATTGACATATTTCGGCTAACAGATGCTGTCCTGGAAATGCTCATCAAGTTGTGCCAAGAAATCTGGAGAACAACCACTTGGCAAACTGACTGGAAGAGATCTATATTTGTTCCCATTCCAAAGAAGGGTGACCCAGTAGAGTGTGGAAACTATAGAACAATCTCATTGATTTCACATACAAGCAAGATTCTACTGAAAATTATCCAAAAATGACTGGAACAGCACATCCGCAGAGAATTGCCAGAAGTCCAGGATGGGTTTAGAAGGGGTCATGGTACTAGGGATATTGTAGCTAATGTTAGATGGATCTTAGCTGAAAGCAGGGCGTACCAAAGGAATGTCTATCTGTGTTTCATTGACTATGCAAAGGCGTTTGATTGTGTGGATCATAACAAACTGTGGCTGACTCTGAGAAGAATGGGAATCCCAGAACACTTGCTAATGCGAAACTTATAATTGGGCCAAGAGTCAGTATTTAGAACAGAGCAAGGAAACACTGCATGGTTCAAAATTGGGAAGTACGTACACCAGGGATGTGTCCTATCTCCATACCTTTTCAACTTGTATGCAGAACAGATTATCCAGGAGGCTGGGCTCTATGAGGAGAAATGTGGGGTCAAGATGGGTGGAAGATCTATCAACAATCTGAGATATGTAGATGGTAAAACCCTGCTTGCTGAAACTGAGGAGGACCTGAAGTGATTGTTGCAGAGTGTCAAGGACTGCAGCCTCCAATATGGATTGAGGCTCAATGTCAAGAAGACAAAGATTCTCACCACTGGCAGCATCAGGCTGGATGGTGAAGATATTGAGATTGTTCACAGCTTCAGTTTGCTTGGCTCCACAGTCAACACTCTCGGCACCAGTAATAATATGTTATGTAATGAGTTAACTCAGTGTCATAATGACAAATACTGCATAAAACCATTACTTTAAAAATAGATAACTAGTAAGATCTGTATAAAAGTCCAAAAGGAGAAAGGGGAAAATGCAGGGGGAAAGAATGTGAGGAGGGTTGGAAATCACTGAGATATTTTTGTTTGGTGTGTGGAGGGAAGGGGTGAGGAAATAGGAAAAACTCACTTGGGACCTGAAAAGATGGATTAACAGTAGGTATAAATCAGTGGTGATGAATTTTATAAAACAAAATGTGTAGAAATGATCATATCAAACGAAATGTGAATGAAGGAATATGTGAAACACAATGTATGTGAATCAATTAAATGTATATGATTTTTTTAATTCAAACACATATAGAATTTTAAAAATCCAAAGTAGATAGATGATATTAATAATTTTTATTATTATTCTTGGTAAATATTATTAAGAATAAATCTACTTGTTTGACCTTTTCACATAAAACATTAAGACTTTGTATTTGTTTATTTCTGATATCATTTATTTTTACTCTCTTCTTTATTATATTCTTTCTTCCTCGTACAGGAGAATCATTTTAATTCCTCTTTTCCTGGTTTCTTGAGGTAGAATTCAGGTCACTGTTTTAGTCTTTTTTCCTTCATTATGAATGCCAAACTTTTCTATTTATTATTTACTTCTCTTTCACCAATTTTAGATATTATATTTACATTATAGCAATAGAATTCAAAAGGAATTCTACCTAGTGATTTTGTATTCATTTTATTTTGTTGTTATCTAGCATTGAATTAGAAACAAACCATAGCTGACCTTCTAGTGAGTTTTCAGATACTATCAATCATAAGGGTTGGCAGAGCGGTCTTGCCACATGAGCTGGGATCTGAGGCAAGGAGTTTGCAAGCATTTAGGCGTGCCTGGCTGATAAGAAACTGAAAGGTCTCGCCCTGCTAAGGTGTTGGGAGATTTAATGTCTGCTAAATCTGGACTCTGGCTTCTTGAGGCGTTGCCGGTTTGAAGACTCTGGGCACTTGTTGGGTTCTTTTAGGTCCACATGAGGGTTGTCCTGTTTTTCATTGTTTTTGTTCAGACATTCCTCTAGGTAGTATAGCCCTGGTGTACAAGTTGCCATACAGCGGTAGGTTGTGGTTGCTGTGAGGCTGAACACTGTGACACTGATGTATCAAATGCATTAATGGCTGGTTACCCAATGCGGACAGAGAGTGGGGTGGAGCTCCCCGATTGAAACAAGCTTGGAAGGAGGAATGGCATCCACTTCCGTAATAGCTTGCCTCCGGAAACCCTATGAACCTGGCGAGAGGATGAAAGACACCCAAGCACTGAGGACTCTCCTTCATAGGGTCGCCTGAGACTCAACAGCACTTAACAACAGCAACAACATCAATCATACAGAAGGAGATTGCTCATCTTTCTCCCATGATAAAGCTGATGGATTCAAACTACTTTCAGTTGGTAGTAGAACACCTTATTACCAAACTACAGAGTTTCCTATTGATACATAAGATTTTTCTTAAAGGTATATTGTTGCTTTTGAAAATGTTTGGCTATTGGGAAACTTAATCTAATTCATGGTAGTCATCGAACATACTTGGGTTAAAAAGGTCAAATCCACCAATAGTTCTGAGGGCAATCTATCCTGGCCATTTACATCTTCAGAAATTCAATAAAGGGTCAATTATGAGTTGATTTTACCTTATGCATTGAGTTTTTGGATTGATTAAAACCAATATGTAAGGAAACAATTGTTAACATTGGATTATAATTTACTTGTTCAGATATTAGGTCAATTATTTTCTTTTTATCAAAATATTACTAATATCTTATTCTTATTTTCAGGACTAAAAGAAAAAAGCCAACAACAACAACAAAACATGAACCAAAAAACAACAACAACAAAAAAAAAACCAAACACAAAAAACCAAAAAACCCACACCTCTTAAAAATGTCTTGTTTTAAAACTTTATTTTGAATTGAGAACATCTCTGCTTGTGAACTAAAAATGTCTGTTGAACATTCTTCGTAGAGCAGTATTAATCTCCTTGTTTCGTAGACTGAAGATTATGGGGTTTGTGAATGGGGGCACCATGTTGTAGAACATGGCGATGAGAAGACCTTTAAGGGATGCTTTATTTGAAATGGGACTAAAGACAGCAGCTATGACAGAAATTACAAAGAGAATAAGTATCACTAACTGTGGGGTACAGGTGAACAAGGCTTTGCTGCGGGCTTCCTCAGAACGCATCCTAAACACAGCTAAAAATATATTAACATACGAGGTAAATAAAAAGATAAAACATATTAAAATCATAACTGAACTAATAACAATAAGAATATACTCAGAAAATTGCACATAGGAGGAAGAAATCCTTAAAAGTTGAGAAATATCACAGAAGTATTGATAAATCACATTGGATTTCGTGAAGGGAAGCTGGAAAATGGTGCCCGTGTGGATAGCAGAATAGATCAACGCACAGGCCCAAGAACCCCCTGTGGCCTGTAGACACATATGAGGGGTGAAAACGAGCCCATAGTGCAGGGGATGACAGATGGCAACATAGCGGTCATAGGACATGACTATAAGAAGTTCATACTCTAAAGATGCGAAGAAAATATACAGGAATATCTCAGATGCACATGCTGGAAGAGAAATAAATTTCTTGCCTGTTAAAGAATTCACAATCGCTTTGGGAACTGTAACTGAGATATAACAAAAATCTACAATAGACAAATTAGCTATAAAGAAGTACATGGGAAAATGAAGATGTGGGTCTATCACAATAACAATGAAAGTGAGAAGATTTCCAGCCAGGGCTCCCAGATAAATTATTATGAATATCAGGCCCTGCAAGACTTGGAGCTTCCTAGAGCTTGATACATCCATGAGAATGAATTCTGTGATGATGGTGAAGTTATCCATGTGTGCTAATATATTGAAGTCTCTCTGGAGTCACATCAAAAGGAAAAAGTGCTTTTAGGAGCAAAGTGGCTGGTGAATCATATGCTTTAACATAAATGTGTTCTAAATAGATATCTTCTAGCATAGGATTACAAATTTTCCCTATTATTTTACAATTCTCAAGAGGAATATCCTTTTTATTGTTATTACGTTCTTAAGAAATTTGAAGAGACCTTTGACAGCCTTTTGATAAGTAGCTGCTCTGCAATCATGAAGGCACACAGTTTGAATCCAGCAGCTCCATGACAGAATGATGGGCAGTCTTTTCTCATGTAAATGACTGTCTCAGAAAACCAACTGGAGGGTCAGCTACGGTTTGATTCTGGCTTCATGGCACACAAAAATGAGAAATTTGAGAACATTGCTAAGAAAATTTCTTCCCTTAATATAGCATTATTGTATAAGTGAAAAACTTCTAAAAATTATCAAATTAAAAAAAATAACCTGTCAAATCTTATTAAATAATAAGTAAAACCTAAAATAACACAAACATGATTAAGTTTTAGATTCATAAAACTTAAAATAACATTAACAAGCACTTTTCACAGATAAAACGTTTTGGTGGTTTGATGTCAATTTTGGGTGACACTCCAATAGCTTGGTGTGTGTTTACGCTACTTCTTAACCACTCACTGCAAAACAAGAGTTGAATGTTACTTTTGAATTTGGGGTTTGTTGTTTTTTTTTCCTTATTAGAAAAATAATCTTCAGATGTATTTTGATTATTGAAATATTGTAACGCCTATAAAACAAAGTTGCCTTAGGTGAACTGTAAAATCTCAAGACATACTTGACGGAGTAAAGAACATTTACCTGTCATTTGGTAGCTGTTAGGTGTCACCTAGTCAGTTATGACTCCTATAAAATAAGACAAACCATTAATTAGAATGAAGTTATTAGAATCAGTTAATTGAATCAGAATTGAAGAAATTTCATTTTAAAATTTCCTGTTAGAAATTAAAAATAAATTTTGGAATAATCACTATTATAGACCTATAGTTGTATCTGTGTCTTATGCCTCCCCTGTGTTCTTTCTTGAAAAATAGTTTGAATTCACCAGCTGCTTCCAGGGAGAGAGACAGGAAATGCCCTTTTATTGAATTTTCAGTCACTGAAAACAAACTAGAGGGTTAGCTATGAGTCAGTTCCAATGTGACCATACCAAATAACAAAACAACAACAACAATTATTTGAAGTACAGACAATGGCTGCTTTTAGGTGTCATTGAATTAACTAAAGCTCATAGCAACCCTACTGACAAGAGAAATAGACCATGTCTTAACTTTCACAATCTTCATGGTCTCTCACATTCTGAAGCCAATTTTCACAGTCACTGTTTCAATCCATCTTGTCAAAGACCTTTCTTTTATTTCCTCTGACTTGCTACCTTTCCCAACATGATGTGTTTTTCCAAGAACTAGCCCATTCTGACAACATGCCCAAAAAGAATGTGAAATGAAGTTTCACCATCTTTGCCTATAGGTGTAACCATGGTTGCACTATCTACAGGACAGACTTGATTATTCTTTTGGCAATCCAAAGAATATGGTACTATTCTCCAATATCACAGCTTCAAGATATCCTATCCTATCCTATCCTATCCTATCCTATCCTAGTCTATGAATTCTATTATCCTAATGTTGATGTTGATTGCCTTCAAGTTGAGCGTGACTCAGAACAACCCTATGAACAAAAGACCTGAAGCCTTTCTATTACTACCGTCATTTATCATCATTCACAGTGTTTCCACAGACGTGTTGTTTAGGAAGTGGATGGCACTTCTGCTAGGCAACTACAAATCCAAATAAAATTACCAGGTACATTAAGCTATACATTTCTATACTATAACCAACTGTGAATGGTCTAACAATTCAACTTATAATTCTGGAAAAAATTCAGTAAAATAAAGTCTCTGAGCAATGTTGCAATTTTTTTAAAATTTTTTTTCTTTATATGGTAATTTTTATTTTTATTTTATAGGAGACAGGGAGTACTGCTATTGCAAATTTTTTATACCCAAATTTATCATGTAATTAAACCTAAAAATTTTATGTTACTTGCTTTTGCTATAAAGGTGTAGTTTCTTTTATTTTTTGAAAAATGAACAACATAAAAAATTTAGTATTAAAGAACCCTGAAGGTGTAGTCTGTAAGGAGTTGGACTGAGAACCCAAAAATTAGCCTCTCATAGATTTCAAATCCACTTGTCACTCTACGGGAGAAGGATGGACAATCTTCTTCTGTGAGATTTAAAGCCTTAGACATCCACTATGAAGTCAGCTATGAATCTGTTCTGACTCAAAGCCAACAATGTGTGTTTTATCACTATATTAACCACAGCATTCTTCTTACTTTATTTTTGATTTTGGAAAAATTGTGTTTTAAAAGCTAATTAAATATCCATAAATATATCCAAATATATATGAAAATATCAGCTAAAATATATTCCTATCCACTCAAATATATACGTGAATATGTTGCAAAAAAATTAAATTCTATTTAGCTGCAATATCTTACATGTATTGGATATAATATCATCATAAGGATTTTCCTCAAACTCTTTATTAAAAAGAATCCCACAAAATAGTTATAACTTTAATTTACCTTTTTTGAGAAAGTTTCTGTTTTATTGTTCCATCTAGTTAATTGTGACTCATGACGATCCCATGACTTTTGATCAATTACTTATCCCAGAATTTCTAAAATGGGGATAACACAGTGAGAAAATTGCTTAAGTGATTATGTAAAATAAAGTGATAACTTTTATTTTAGAACATGGTAGACGAAAGGAGATGGAATAGATAGATAGATGATATAGATATAGATATAGATATAGATATAGATATAGATATAGATATA